GGCGGGAGGTGGCAGGAGGGAGGACAAGTAGGGAGGATCAGGCTCAGGGTGGAGGGATAAGGATGGGGACGGGGGAGGAGAAGGATGGACGAGGGTCAGGAGGATGAGGTTGCAGGATCATGATTGCAGGGACAGCTCCTCAAGAGGGGGACAGAGCCTTGCCCCGCCCCCTGGGCCGGAGGATGGGGAGGAGGACCAGTCGGAGAAACAAGAGGAGTGTGGAGGAAGGAAGAGGGAGGAGGAGGAGGAGGAGGAGGAGGAGGAGGAGGAGGAGGAGGAGGAGGAAAAGGAGCATCACTGCAGCTCCACTGGGTGGTGGAACAGCGGCGGCGCGTTCGGTCAAGGCGCCTGCCCTATGAGAAGACTGCTGCTGGCACTCCACGGAGGCGCCTAAGCCTTCCAAGACGACCTCATGGCCCATCGGCTCCCACTGCCCCTCCCGTCTTGCCCACCCCTTTCGGGGCCTCACCAGAAGGATGAGGGGGTGTTTTTTGGTCGCGGTCTTGGTTCCCTCTCGGAGCCCGTGCCGATGAGGAGGGCGGGAAGAAGAAGGGAGGGGGAGCAAGGGAAACGAAGAATTGAGAAATGGAAGATGGCTGGAGGAGGCAAGGGCGATGCAAGGAGGAAGCGGAGGAGGGAGGTTGGAGGGCAAAGGGAAGTTGCAAGGGAGGAAGTGTTCGCCTGTATGTCAGCCCGAATGGAGATGCGGTTGGGGCGGGGCAAGGAGGACGAGGAGGAGGAGGAGGAGGAGGAGGAGGAGGAGGGAGACGAGGGTGATGAGGGAGGAGCCCATCGAGAGGCAGCCGAGAGGCATCCTTGGCCTATCTGGTGAATTTCTCTCTCGCTCGATGTCTCTGTGTCTCTTTCTACGTATTTCTGGCGTTCTCTATCACCCCTCTCTCTCTCTCTCTTTCTCTCCTCTTCGGTCAGCTTGATTGATGTTTGCAGTATGTTTGCATGCTGCACGGTGCTCGCTGACCCGCTTGGTGCGATTGCGACCAGCAGGAGGCCACCCAGAGCGGGACTTTTGAGTCTTTGTTGATTGTCACGGTATACAGTTGGTCTATTATTGCCGAGTTTGAAGTCCCCCTTACGAATTCAGAACCTGTAGCTCAGCGACATGGTACCCAACGTGCGTTGGCAAGTTTAGTTCGGACGATCTCGATAGATCCTTTGTGTGGATACAGTTTGTCCGTCTTGGCCGCGGCCGCACTTGCCTGAGCTTCCCGCTCCCGTTTCCTTAACAAGCGTTGCTTCAAGCTTGTTCTCACGATTCGTCCCAAGACTGAGAAGTGAGAAGGACCGCAGCGTCCCCAGGTTCCTTGGCATCGCTCGGACGTGTGCATTTTTCCTTCGGCGAGGACCATCGAGGAGCATCCTTGATCATTTGGCGAGAAAACCACGCACGAAACCAACAAAAACACGGAATGGACGTCCAAGCGATGGCGAGGTTCTGGATGCGTGTGAAGATCTCTATCTCTACATACATATATATATACATATATGTATACACCTGCGGATTCGTTTGATGAGGCAGGCGCGGAGACAGCATGAGGGGCATGAGTGACGGGCGCACGCCCTTCTCCCCAGGACGACATGGTACTATTCCATGTGTTTGGGTTGTTTGATCCTCAGCTGTTATTTCGTCTTGAGCGCGGCAGATTGGTTCCCCCTCCTGGGAGTCCGACGGGGAGGAGGAGGAGGAGGAGGAGGAGGAGGAGGAGGAAGAGGAGGATGGGGGGGAGGAAAAAGACGTATCGAACTCCTAGCAGTTGCGCTTGAGATGCGAGGGGATCCCGACCCCAATCACCAGTCATCGTGCACAGGCCTTCTCGACCTTTCCAGACAGTAAGCGCCTCCTGGGAGAAGGGGGTAGGCGAAGGAGCTGTGTCATCGCCCTGAGGGCTGATGTCTTCTGGGTTGCAGGCGGCCTTTAAGCTGTCAGGACTTTATGCCGGCACTGTTCGACGTCCTGAGGGTGGAGGCGTGGGAGGAGAAGGCAGGCTGGGCTGCCTGCGCCTCCGACGCGAGCGGGGTCGCGGCCTCAGCTGCTCCGGAGCAGTGCTTCCTCTCGACCGTCTGGTTGTGAGTCAGGAGGAAAAGAAACACAGACACAATTAATCGTCGATTCCCCTAAAAATATTGGAAAATATGGGAAGTGAGGGGGAAAACAAAAACCCAGAAAATATGAAAAGATATAGGGAATCCTGTTATGTGTATGTATTTGTTTGTGTGTCCCAGGGCCCCTTCAGTGAGGGGTGCTTGTGTTTCCTGGCCATCGTGGTGCTGTTGCTGCCGAGGCTGTCGCCGCGTGCGCGTCCAGCTAAGCAGGGCTTCGCATTGGAGGAGGAGGAGGAGGAGGAGGAGGAGGAGGAGGAGGAGGAGGAGGAGCTGTGTGAGCTCAGGCACGTGCGGGTGCGCACGCTCTGCAACTCCGTCGGTTGCCCGCTGGTCTTAGGGGTTAGGGCCGAAGGCCGCGACAAGCTCACGCCGCTCGTTGTCCTCTGCTGCTCGAGCCCTGGGGGCCGCCGCACGGGGACGGATGTCGCGAGCCTGCATTTCCCGCAGACTTGGCGCACCGATCCGGATACGAACAGAGCTTGTGTGACGTCCATTCTGCCAGGGCCAATGGTTCTGGTGATTCAGTGATGTCGCGAGCTTGCATGTCCCGCAAGCTTGGCGCACCGATTCGGGTACGAACGGAGTTTGTGTGACGTCCACTCTGCCAGGGCCAACGGTTCTGGTGGTTCAGTGATGCAGTGTCTCTGTGCCGCCTGCTTGGCTCACCTCGGGCAGTCGGCAGTAGACGTGCCGTTGGACGAAGAGCCACAACGTCTCACGGGGGCCGGCCCCGCGGCCTTCAGGTAAGGGGGGCCATCCATCGAGCGCGAAGGATGGGCCCCGCGAGTGCGCTGTCACAGCACGGATTGCAGTCACAGATCCAGAGGCTGCAAAAGGAGTAGTCGATCGAGTCTGGTTATGTCTTACGTTCTCCGGTTCGCATGCTGCTCGGTGCTTTTCTTCCCGTCCTCTTCTTTTTCCTCATCCCCTTTCTTCCCTGTCTTGCCACCGCCACAAGACGTGCTCGCTCGAACCAGGTGAAAGTTCGCAAGTGTGGGACGAATGGCGAATGTTGGAGCTCGTCCCGTTTACCTCTCCCACCTTCTCCGTCCCCGCAAGGACACAGTGGGGCAGTGTTGATAGGCGCTTTCGCCAGCTTTCACCGTGGCCTCAGTTTTGCGGTGCGCCGAACTAATTACCTGGTGGTCGCGCGTCACATTTAGCAAACGAGTCTGTCACCCCGGCCCTGGTGTTAGGTCGGGCCTGTCCCTCTGCAGTAGGAATATTCAAAAGCAGTACACACATAGTTTGGGGACGATTTCCCTAGAATTTCTCATTAGTTTGAATACCTTTGGGTATCTTTAATTGTTCGCCCGAAATCCGCCTGTAGGGGGACATGCCCAACCTCACCCTGGTGCCGAAATGTTCGAGACAGCTTTGTCCAGTCAGTGTCAGGCCATAGTCTGCGAGGCGGGCGTAAGGTTTTTGGTGGTTCCAGCTGGGTGCTCTTCCGAGCGCTCTCGGGTGAACCCCACGCCCCGCCCTGTGTACCTCACGCCCGAAAGGGGCCCCGGGTGGACGGAGCTGAAGGGGTCATTGGTTCCCAGGGCCCACTCGGGCAATATTCCATGCGAGCGAGCGCTGATCGAACGAGCAGGAGGAGGAGGAGGAGGAAGGATGGGAGGATGAGGAGGAGGAGGAGGAGGAGGAGGAGGAGGAGGAGGAGGAGGATGATGATGATGATGATTATTATGATGATGAGGAGGAGGCGGATGAGACACGGGATTCAGCAACAGCCGCGGCAGCAGCATTAGGAGGGGAAGGATGAGATGATAAGACGGCTGCGGAGGAGCGGGGGGCACGATTAGTAACACATAGGGACTTGGGGGCACGCCAACTCGTGCCTCGTGGCACGGTGTCGGATCATATGTCGATGGTATGGGATGCTTGTCACCGGTGCGACGCCCTTGCCACCTTCTAAGTTCACTCCTACACAGACCCACTCACACTCAGCCTCACTGATGTTCGCTCACAATCAGACTGACGCAGATTCAGGTTCACCCAGATCCAGGCCCTCACTCACACTCAGACTCATGCATTCTCCGCTCACTCACATTCCGCGTACTCGTGCTCACATCAGCCACGATGTAGCAGGCATGGCAGTTGGGCCTCCCGAGGGGTAGCCGGCCACGGGTGTATCAGAGGCCCTTTCTCGCACAGATTGCGGGGTTTCCAGAATATAATTTCCGCCTTCGCGGGGTAGCCGTGTTTTTCTTTGTGTTAAAAAAACACACACACACATGTCAGAGCCCAAACATCATCGCGAGGTAGCAGGTTTCCATGGCTCCATGGCACCTGGCGCCTCCCAACGAGGACTCCCGAACGTCTTCGTCCTCACCTGAGGGGCCGCGGCCCCACTGCGGGCAATCTTTATATCCACATCCAGGGCGTCGTGGACTTTCGTGGGAGGGGCGCCGCAAGGCCGAGGCGCACTGGATGTGGATAGGATCCGAGCCTCTAGCAGGGGCCTGATTTTTATCCATATCCGGTGCTCCTTGGCTTTCTGGGGAAGTGAGTCCGAACCCCCAAGCTGCAGTGGATGTGGGCACAAGTCTTGCCCGCACCCGACGCTGACGCCTTCAGAAATCACGGCCGCGTGTCAGTGCGGCTGCGGATCTCGGCGCTCGCCTGGCCTCGCCCGGCCTCGCCGTGGCCAGCATCACCACGGTGTGGCGGCCATGGCATCCGGCTCACCCCAGGGGGGGCCGCCAGGGGATATGACACAGACTTTCTTCGCGCCCAGATTGCGGGGACCTCCCAGGTGATCAGAGTGCAGGATTCGCCCCCCTATGCCCAGACTTACGCATATTCCAATCCGTCCAAGTTCAAGCCCAATCAAATCCAGACCGCTTACATTCTGCCACGCGTGATCGGATACTCGGGCACCATCAGGTTCGCTCGCGCCGAGGTCCATTCACACCCAGACGCTCACACGCACGCTCAAACAGAATTACCTAGGCACTCGTTTTCAGACTCGCTCACGTTCAGACCCACTTGTTCTAAGACCATGGCAAATGATGTACATGAAAGCCTTCGCGTCTAATGTTCTACTCTGCTTGTAGTGCTCGTTTTATGAGTCTGGGCGGTGCTTCTCAAAAGTGCAGCCGTGTCCTCTAGGGCCTTCTTAGGGGCCTTTGGAGGTCATGTTGGGGCTCCCTGTGGGCTCTCCTTATTGGGCATGTCTTGAGTCCCTCTCGGGGCCCTCTTGAAAGTTTCTTTGCAGTCTCGGGGGCTACTTTGGCAGTCTCAGGGCCCTTTTGGGCAGTCTCTGGGCCTTCTTGGGGGCCTCTGGGCCCAGTCTGGGGGGCCTCCAGTGCGGCTTCCGGCTTGCAGGCGCCCGAAGAGGCGAGACCGCGAAACTCGTCTGGAATCAACCAAAAATAAGAAAATCATTGATTTTGGCTTCTTGAGGCACTCTTGGGGGTTCGATTGGTGCCCTCTCTCGGCGTCCTCGGCCGTCTTCAGGCCACCTTGGGCGCTTCTGAGGCCTTCTGGGCATCTTTGCGCCCCCTGCGAGTTGTTTGGGAGGCTTCGCAGGCGTCTTGGAGGCGACGGAGGATGGACTCGAAGGCTCTGGGAGCCCCCCTGGGGCCCCACTCCGGTCCCCGCGCCACTTATTGGCATGACTACACCAGAGAAAAGCCATAATCAGTGGATGGTTTGAAATTCGGGGGCGGCAAAGGGGGGGTGATGACTAGGGGGGGTGGAGATCATGGCGGGGGTCATGATCTTTCCTCAGATTTTATGGCGCCTCTTCTTATTTCATTACGTCCCTGGCCCCCCCGCTGGGCCGCGCACATGCCGCCGGTCATGATTTGCACCCCCCCCTCTTGGACACCCCCCTCTTGGCCGCGTCCGAGAAATGGGATCGATGAAGAGATCGATAAGGAGATCGACCGGGAACCCGGGAACCCGGGAACCCGGAACCCACCGAGATCGGCCCGGAACCAAGAACCAGAACCCGGGAACCCGGGAACCCAGCCGGCTGCCAAAAATCGGCGGGATTTGTTTGCCAAATATTTCAATTTCCGCCAGGACCCCTTCAGTGCAAGCTCTGATCGGGGAAGAGGGGGAGGGGAACAGCCAATCGTCGCACACGCCTTTTTCCCGCAGGCGGGCGGGGGTCGGCGGATGTCACGGGTGCCCACCTGTCCGCGGTGCAGCCTTCCTCTCTGGCAGCTGCGTGGTGGCATTCGGCGAGGGCACACTGCAGGATCAGCGCAGCCGCCTCTGCTGGCGCCACCGTGGATACTCTGCGGTATACGATCCGTTGTCCTGTGACGTGTGAGGCCTGAGTACTCCCGGCCTCTATCCTCTCGAGCGCGCGGGCCCCCCAGCCATTTGGCTCACTAGTCGGTGCTGAAGCTCCCGGGCCACCGCCGAGCACGCCTGCCCGCCGCAGCCAGCCCTTCGCCCGAGGTCCTCGGCATGGCCCCTGTCGGCAACGTGATCAGCCTCACCCCGACGTACCCGGGGCTGCCGCCGCAGTTCGACTGGAAGCGGGCGAAGCAGCCCGTGGGCGCCGAGGACTCCTCCACCGACGAGGACCAGGAGCCGAACCGCAAGAAGGGCCGCTGCTCCCGCTCGGGCGCCGGCGGAGAGACCCCGGGCGCGTCCATGTGGAAGCCCATCGTCTTGATGATCGCCTGCCTGAACGTCGTCGCGCTGGGTGGCCTCGTGTACAGCGCCCCGTGGAGGCCGAAGGTGGAGCACGAGCGGACCTCCGGCCCGCACCTGCGGCACCAGGTCCAGCGCAAGCTGATGATCCCGCTCGAGGCATCCGTCACGACGGACGGCAGGGTGTCGACGAGGTACCCGCGGGACTTCCTGGCCAGCGTGCCGGCGGCCGTGCGGCGGTCGCTGCTCGACTCGCTCAGGCAGGAGGTCTACTCCGAGGCCGGGCGAACGGCGGAGCCATCGGGGCACGAGCGCCAGGGTGCGGGTTCCCTGGCGTCGCGGGGCTCCAACGCCACAATGGCTCACCAGGGGGCCAGCCGCACGGCGGAGCCATCGGAGCATGAGAGCCAGGGCGCGAGCTCCCTGGCGTCGCGGGATTCCAACGTTACGAAGGAGTCCATCGAGTAGAGCCGCTGAGGCACCAGAGCCAGCTCCTAACGACACATGCACGCAATAATTCAGACTTCGTGTGCCCAGTCAATGCGTACTTCTATTGTTTGAGGTGCGAATCGCATTGGGCGCCACCAAGCTCAACGAAATGTTTGTAGTTTTAGTCGGCCTGCCCTTGCTTGTCACAGTGCAGCCCGCGACGGGTCCCAGTCCCACACCTGAACGGAACGCATTGCGCTCCTCATTTGCAAGACCGCTCGCCCAGGCTGTCAGAGGACGTCATTTGCGTCGCGGTATCTGGCCGCATGCTATTGTTAGCGCTGCTGCGATACTGCACGCGCCAACAACAAGCTCTTGTGACATCGGACAATGCTTGCAGACATAATCGGTAAGCGAGCACATCGTAGGCTGTGCTGTGCAGTACCATTAATTCAATCAATGTACGTCTCGCTCCTCCTGTGGCTCCTCATATGTGTTACACCCCTCCTCGCCCTTCTCATATTGTCATCCGTCGAAGTGGTGACAATACTAGCTAGTTGCGCAGGGCTTGCACTAGCGCATCTGCACGTTTGTGCATCAACTCGCACGCAGCACTGGCTCATCTATCCCTCATAGGAGCGATGTGGTGTCGTCGCATTTGGTGCGCACTTTTTTGCAGACGCTACTGACACTGCGCTTGCATGTCAACGCATAGCTACTACTGGAACATCTGTGCCACGCGCTCCTGGAGTGCCCTTCTAGGTAGTCTCGTTAGCTGCCATGGGTGTGGGCTAGATGGAAAACAGCCTCTACGTAGTGTGCTGCAGCTTGCTGAAGCAGTTGCATCGTTCGTTGATTCGAGCCCCGGCGAGGCCCCTGGCTGCGCAGAGGAATCTTGCCACGAAACAGAATGGTAAAGCAACACATGCTATTTTCGGGACGCGTTCCGTTCGAACCTGTCTTCCCGCGAACAGCAGTGGCTCGAAGAGCTCAGCTCGACTCGCCCTCGACCTGGATAGAACTAGTTCGCCCTGATCGCGGTAGTCCTCGTCGTCGACCCACCGATATCGTTCTGCAACCACTAAGCTCCATCGATTCGATTCGCAACGCGACGAAGTTGTATTATGCTTACTGTCGTGGGGGCACCGTGCTGTCCGTTATCGGGCGTGACAGTGTGTTGCCAGATCCGGCCGTGCAGTGATCCTCCCCTGTAGTCAGTGTGTTGCCAGATCTGGCCGTGCAGTGATCCTCCCCTGTAGTCTATTGTACCATGCTTGCATGGACGCATAACAAACTGTGACGCACTTGCGGCATAACGCTTTAGACGGTCTCACGCAGTTACGATGGGGGCAGCGATGCGGGGCGACGATGGGATAATAGGGACGAGATATAAGGGATGATAATATATATATATATATATATGCATGAACATGGATACAGGGATAGGGATAAGGATTCGGTCTAGGGCCTGGGGTAGCGATTAGGAATAGGGAAGGAAGAGAGACAGGGAGGGATATAATCGATGGTTGGTGGGGGTAGGGTGCGGATGTCGTTATGTATCACCCCACCCCCAGGAACTTACGCGACCAGGACTGGGGACAGGAGCCTGGGGAACAGCCGTGGGCTACGGTCCGCTCGGCGGGTGTTGGCTGGCATTCGCGATGCTCCCCGGGGCGGCGCTGACCCCCCCTCGCTCGGCGCAACCCGCACCGAGACTCGGAGAGGTTCGCTCGGATCTGCAGCCACGCGCAGAGGGGGGTCAGGGGGAGGGGGGGAAGGCTTCTTAGGAGCACCCCAGCTCTGAGAAGGCGCGGGCCTTCTCTGCAGATGTAAGGCTGGCGCCTTCTAAGAAGCAGCCTCCTTCTGAGGAGCCTTCCCCCCTCTCCATACCCCCCTCTGCGCGCCGCCAAGTTCGCTCCGATCCGACGCCAGCGGCATACCCAAGGTCGCGGAGAGAGTGTGCGGGAGTGCCAGCGGGGGCGTGTTCAATGCGTCCCGCTCCTAGCCTCTCGGGTTCCCGCACGGCTTCGGCTCGAGCCGAACGGTCGGCGGTGCGAGCACTCGCGCGATTATCGGCGCTAGGCTTGCCAGCTGCGCAACGCGGGGATCTCTCGATCTTTGTGGATGGCAGGTTGTCGCGGGGGGATCCGTGCTTCGACACTTCGAGAGAAGGCGGCTCAGCATGCGAGGGTGCTGTGCACTGCCTGTTTCTGCTCAGGACGTCTGGTGAGTGGTGTGTCCACCCGCTTTTGATCAATGTTACCGTGTCTCGCCGATTGCTCTTGGCGCGATCAACGGCCACCGACGAAGAAGCCGTCTGGGCGGCCTTGGCCCGCGGGCTTGCTCAGCAGGTGCCCCTCGGCCCGAGAGACCCTGGGAAGCCCGGGCCGCATCTGGAGGACTCAGCTGGGCATGCCCACAACTGGACAGCAGGGCATCTCCAGTAGCTCCACCGCACGAGAGCCACGGGGTTTTCATACGCTGCCAGGCGTTGCCGGCCGAAACAACTCGCGTATAGTTGGCATTGTGACTGCCTTGCGCGACGCCGGCCGACGGCACAGAGAACTCCTGGTCGGCGCCCGCGGGGGGCGCAATTAGTGTTTTCCACCACCACCACCACCATAAGTTGGAGGGAGGAAGGACGAGGGGGACGAGGAGGAGGAGGGGGAGGAGGAGGAAGAGGAGGAGGAGGAGGCGGAGGAGGACCCCCCCTCCAACTCATGGCGGTGTTGGTGGAAAACACGCCCATCAATCAGAGGGGAGGCTTGGGCCAGAAGCTCATGGAGACTTATCCGTTTTGTGTCTTGACTGTTGACAACCGCTCATCGGCTCATGCTCAGCTGAAGGCGAGGAGTTGTACCTAACCTTGCGTCAGTCTCCACTCCCGCACGGGAGAATAGCCTCCATACTCCTGGGTTTGCGTGGGCACGCGGCATAGCTTTCTGACGTGTGATGTGGGATAGCAGCGGGCGGTGATTTGGGTAGCTTCCTGGGTCTGTCGAAGCTTCTCCACGGCCTTGGGGAACTGTGACTGGGAATGGTTGCCTCCATTGTGCTTATCATCAGCGACTTCTCCTCCCGCCCCAACCAATGTTTCAAATGCCGCGACCTCAGTAGATCTGAAACGAATGGCTAGGAGTCTGAAGTCTCTCGAGATGAACCCTCTTCAATATCTTTGTGGTCTTTTTCGTTTACGGGGGATTCTTGAATCAAGGCTGAAACGTCTCGCCTCGTCCTGCTTCACTGTGCGGGCTGCGCTTCTAAAGGCTTGCAAGTCGGGCCGCCCGGAGCAGGGAGAGCCGACGGCAGCGGCTGCTTTAAGGTTCTGCACGCAGGGCCTCATCGATGCGGTCCAGCTCGCGCTCAGCGATCGGCTCGGCGACGCCGTCTGGAGGAATGCATCGCCTCCTGGGAGCCGGCTAAGGGGCCTTTCACACGGTTGGCAGGTTGTGAAATTTCACCTCCGCTCCCCGCTGGTACTGAATCGGAGTTGCAGGATACGCCAGGTGCCAGAAATGTCTTACTGCGCGCCTGAGACACCAGACAACATTTTAGGTACCCGGCCATGGCCGTTGATTATGCAAGGGCGCTGCAGGGAGGGTATCTTTAGTAGCGCATGTCCCGCCACCCACACCTGACCTGCATTAGCGGAAGTGTGTGGTGTGTATGTGTGTGTGTGTGTGCGTGTGTGTGTGTGTGG